CAGATGTTGATGATGATGAAGAAGAATATTATGATGATGCTTCTGATGATGATGGTAGGTTGCTAATAGTGATACTGATGATGATGATGATGATAATGGAGACGACTGAGGCAGATATCATAAGAATGATGATGGTGATGAAGATGAATGTTATGGTAATTCTTGTAAGGATGACGTTGATTCTGGTGGTGGCGGTAGTGGAGACGGGGACAATGTGCACAACTGTCTGACCAAAAGCCTCTTTTGCCTTAACACATGCCAGACGGACAAAAGCGGTCCTGTAGTTGGTGCAGTCAGTTGTTGTTGTCGTTGTCGTCGGCATCGTAAAGGCTTTTCCGTCGACGGTGGAGGTCGATACATTATCGCGATCACGTTATCTTTTTTCAGTTCGGTCCAGGCAGAGATTTGTACGACGCTTCTGAACGGGAATAAAGTGTACCAAAATAGGGGAAATTGTCGACCCAGGATTCGCCTTTGTAGGCCTGTCTGGGCGCCGAGTGTGCAAGGACGCCTGAAAATGACAGAAATGTTCATCCGAGTGGGTTTCACGCTTTCAACGAATTTCACACAGTTTTACTTCCCAAAAGCCATTTTACTTTCTGTCTGTCTCTCTGTCTGTGTGTGTCTTTGTGTGTTTACCAGTTTGTCGTGAAACGAGAGTTAGTTGTGCAGGAAAAGTTGCTTGTACGGAATTCGTAAATTGGACCCCTCGAAAACTGTTGGATTATGCCAAGCAGTCTGCGACCAACCGTCTCACCACTCTGTAGAAACGTGTGCTAAGCATTCGTCGCCATGGCGAGAAGTCATCATTTACAAGAAGCCGAAACAAATACAATAAGGCAATAAATCAAAATAAATCGCGCTGGCATTCTTTACAAGCCATCTTTTCTGTGTGCGTCTGTTTGATTGTCTGTGCAACAGTGTGATATTCGGCCTAGGCTACATTCGGCAATGAGGGATGGACAGTTGAATTGTCTCACAATCCTATGATCAGGCGAGTGAAGTAGACTGGGCCATGCCGACCGGAGTGTGTTCTCGTCCGGCAGAACGGAGTTAACTGCAGGCTCGAGAACATTCAACAGTCGCTTGATCAGAGGACCGGAAAATAGAGTGTGAATTTGCACAAGTGAAATATTGAGAGAAGATAGTGGAACGGGAAAATGATTTTGACATTGAGGATATTTGCAGTAAATTTGACGGAACAGACGAGAGAAGCAGGCCGGTGCGTGTGGAGGACGTGAAATGGACATATTCGAGCTAATCGGTCATCGGCGACAAGTTGATTTCTGGCTAATTGCCTTAATGTCTGGAAGATGATGCACAATAACGTACATTGTAGAGTACCGTCAGTTTAGCTCAACAAGATTGCGAGCAAAAAGAGATAATTAGAGGAAGACATGAAATAGAGAGAGAACGAGAGACAGATATAGATTCAAAATGATAGGCGAGGATTCCAAAAAAAAGGAAGAAATATAAAATCAAATAATAAAAGCTCATCTCATCTCATCTCATCTCATCTCATCTCATCTCATCTCATCTCATCTCATCTCATCTCATC